TCTATGATATCAGTGGTTAATATGTTTGGCCATTTTTAGTGAATATTTATAATAATGCTGCAAATCTACAGTGTTTTATTAACCAAAACTGTTTTTCGCGTTTTTCTCGAATTGAAGTTTCGATTGAGTACGACTCATTGGGACCGCCGCCAAATCAAGTGCGTTCGGACTAGGACATTCAAACTCGCAGTTATCGTTCAATAGATAATGATGGTGAAAAATATGTCTGGGTTTTTAAAGAAAATGCTTTGTCACAGAATAATAGTCTGTTAAAGGTGTCAAGTATGAAATAAGTTGAGGACAAAAAAACAAACCTGCATAGAAATCGGAATAATAGGTCTTTTGATTATCTGAGACGCATTTCAATGGACTTGATTACGGACAATGCATGACGTAAATTTCACCAGGAAATTCCGCAGTGTGCTCTCGCAATCGCGTACTTAGTCATTTTTACAAGGTTCGCCATTTTTGATGTCACGTGATAATTATGTAAACAACGACTGTCCAGTTTGTGCGAAATTGTGCCTCTATACTTAGTCTTTTGAAATATATAAGCTAAATTACTCTTCTGAACAACACAACAGACAGAGAATGTTTTATTCGAAAATGTCACAAAACCCTTCTCGCTACCTTAAGTCAATTTTCAAGTTTAAAACTGTTTTATTACAACACAACACAATACAATACAATACAACACAAGGACAGACATTAACCCTTTTTCCGGTCAAGTCTGTGAAAAACTGCCGTCAATATGGGTATGCTAGAAGTTACCACTCCAGCTAGCTAACTGGTTAAGTCGTTGAAAAACGGCCTGTTATTTAGGTTGCTCAGACGGTCAAGCGTTTATAATACGTTGTACGGAACCTGATATTTTACACTTGCGAAATTATGGAGGGAGAGAATTTGTTTTCGATTACGCCAAGTCAAATAAATTAACCAAGTAATAAAGAATGTAATTCTATACTCTTGTCTGCTCATTTCACTATTTTACCGTCACAACGCGACGTTTGCGACGACGTAAAAAAACCGCCTTGACCACATTGCAAACTGCAGCATTACAACCGTATTTGAACGACACGATTCACGGTTATAACGGTAGTAACGTATTTTGACCAGCTTGGCAAATAGTCCCGGCACTTAGAATGAATAGCATAACGGATTCCAACGGCTGAGCTTGGAATGTCGGCAATCACCAACGTAAAATGACCGGGACAGCTGGTGGGAAATATTAAAGTCCACGTGATTTCACCGTCTGAGCTAGCATATGCAATTTTATGTGTATGCAAATTGTAACCAATCCGTGTTCGAAAAAATAACATATTTATTTACATAACAATAAATATTCAAATTGTGGGGAGATGCAGTCTTGTGGACATCTGGTCGTTCAGTATAAATATGGCCGAAGAAAGTGAGATAAAGCCCAGACTTGCTGTGTGCCTCCTTTCCGACACTTACGTTAATATGCCGTCCTATACAGATAGAAAGTGTTTTATGAAGGCAAGAAGGAAACTGAAGAAAATGCGTCAATCGTGCAGTGGCACGGGGAGTGATAAGTTTGACATTGACACAACAGATTTTTCACCAGCAAAGCGTGGAAAAAGAAAGAAATCCAAAGCAAAGGAAACATTTGATGTCGGTGAGTTACCAGCCGAGCGTACCACGGACACCAGTGATAATAGTCCACTCAAGAAAAGGCGTAAAAAGAATAAGAACAAACGCAAGTCGGAGACTGTCTCCTCTGTCAATGAACATGCGATTACAGAAGAAAACCGTTTGAAGGACTGCAGGGGCAAACCAGGAGGCAAACGTAAATCGAAGACGAACCGTAAAGTGGTTGAATCGCCAGCTGCCGACAAAGCAGATGCCGAAGAAACGGAAGTTGGTCACGCTGAAATACAACGTGCCGTCGAAGATGTGATACAATTTTTGCAAGACAATGTTTGCGATTCGGAACCGTCGACATCCGCCACAACTGCCAACGCAGAAAAAGCAGGGGCCTGAACATATCGACCCAGCGAGTACGCAACAAAACGTCGATGTCACCAAAGAAATGGTACAAGAAAAATGTATGCGGTACAGAACAATCAACACTTGCGAGTTTCCCCGAAAAACAAACTATTAAAAAACGTGTTGTGTATGCACACGCATCGCCAATGGACACGCGTGATGATGAACTTGTATTGGACGAAAAAACGGGTGAGCTACGACACAAAATACCAGATGATTTCATAGTTGCAACTGACGATGATACAGATTCAGAAATCGATGAAGATCGTGCTGAGAATGACGATTTTTTAGAGCAACGTTACCCACCTGTACTCGATAGCGACATTGAAATTGAATCCGACACAGAAATTGGTGCTACATTCGATTATGTTGCCTCCGGCACTGGTGAATGGAGAATGGCCACGGAGGAAGACGGCGATATATTTACTATTCCAGTTTTTGAACCCGAACCTGGACCAACTTTCGAACTGCCTTCATATGCTCGTGAGGTGGAATATTTCTACAAATTTATCCCACCAGAACTGATAGAACTGGCTTCTACCGAGACTAATAAATACGCCAAATATCATCAAAAATGCATTGCAAAAAAATTAAATGCCCGCTGGCGTAATACAAATTTCATTGAAATGCAAGCATTCTTTGGTGTGATGATATGTATGGGTGTTGATCACAAATCAGCAATCGACGATTATTGGTCGAGTGACCCCTTTCTGCAGAACATGGGAATTGCATCAGTAATGACTCGGGCCAGATTTCAAATGCTAATGCGTTATTTTCATTTAGCTGATCCAGTAAATGACCCACGGCGGGATCCTGACATTGAACGTCGCCGTCAACGATCAGAGGCCGACCCGTTGTATAAAATCAACCCGTGGCTGAAACCCGTACTCGAAAATTGTCGGCGATACTACCAGATGGGACAGGAAATTTCGATTGATGAGGGTATGATTAGATTCAAGGGACGGTCCAAGTTTAAGCAGAGATTGCCCCACAAACCCGACCGTGATGGCTTCAAAATATGGCAGGTGTGCGACTCGACAACGTCTTACATTGCAAACTTTGAACCATATTTGGGGGTGAAATATAAAACTACAATTGAGGGGAGAAAGAAAGAAACTGGGACAATCAAGAAGACAACACACCGGTTGCTACAGCCCTTCACAGAAAAAAACCATATTCTTTTCTGTGATTCGCTTTTTACGTCGGTTAACACAGCCCTTGAATTACAAGACAAGGAAGTGTACATGGTCGGTAGTTTTAGCAGACGAAATCGGAAAACCATGCCGCCGCAATTAATTCCTGAAGGGAAAAGCAAGAAGCTGAAATTGAAAATTGGTGAAATGAAAGCAGCAACTAGACCGGACGACATTATCAATATTACTGCATACCAGGATGACAGCGCGCAAATATTGATTTTAAATACAGTCTATCCAGAAGCAGTAGATGACGAGAGACACATGCCTGTATCGTTACAATGTTACAGACATCACATGGGTGGCGTGGATCGTTCTAACCAAAGGCGAAAATACTATCACACGGGCAGAAAAAACAATCGTTGGTGGATCTACATGGCCTGTTACCTCATAGATGTTGCATTGGTCAATGCTTATGAATGTTTCAAGGCATTGAATCGCACGACTAAAGTAACGCACAAATTCTTCAATATCCGCACAGGTAAACAACTGATTGGTGGACACTCGAGTAGAATTCAAAAATCCATAAGAGAAGTTGGCTCTCTTCCAAGTAACACGTCATTTATTCGTAGTTTAAATCATGGTTCACCGCCAGAGGGCGCAACGCCAGAGCAGAGCAAAACACCCTCACAAACAAAACAAAATACTCGTACACAACGGTGTCTTGGGTCCAGTAGGGGGTAGTTTATTTCTACAAACTAAGTGTTCATCCTAAATCTAAAAGCAGGTAAATGATAAGTCAAACCAGAACTAAAGACTATATCCTCCTGGAAAACAGATTCAAAGCAGCTAAATTCAATGAATAGAAAAATGAGTCACTC